CTTCTAGAAAAGACAGTATAGACAAATTCCCTCTGACGTTTCATGAGGTCTTATCCACCGCAGCTGATCCAGGTCTTCCCCACTGCAGTTGTCCATTGCCTCTCTTCTGGCCTTATCTCAAAGCTTCCTGGCTTAAAGATTGCTACTTAATAACATCCATCAGTTATTATCTAGACCTGCACTATCCAATATGGTAGCTCTAGCCACATGTGGCTATTGAGCACTTGAAGTGGCTAGTCCAGACTGAGATGTGCTGTCAATGCAAATCACACCCCTGATTTCAAAAAGACAGTGTTTAAAAAAAAAAAGTAACATATCTCACTAACAATTATTTTATATTGATTACATGTTGAACTGAGAATATTGTGGGTGTATTGGATTAAATAAAATATGTTATTAAGCTCAACTTTACCTGTTTGTTTTTACTTTTTTAATGAGGCTACTAGAAATTAAAAGAATACATATGTTGCTGCGTTTGTGGTCACTTCCTAATCCTATTGGGCAGCACTGGTCTAGACACTGGATGAACCATAAGAAATTTATGATCATTCCTTCAACTCAACAAGCAGACTTTGATCCCCTGCTAAGTGCAGGTTGGCTACATGACCCCCACTCTCCATCCTAGCCACCTTCAGCTTGTGAGGGCACACGTCAGCCTGAACACACATCATTGGGATCTAAGTCTGTGCTCATGCTCCACCCAGAAATCCTCAACAGATGGCTTAAGGAGGGTGAGTCAGAGACCGCCTGCCTCAGGTTGTGATCTTATCAATGGATTTTCTGCTTTTGAAAAAATACATTCACCTGAGCATTCCTTGCAACAGATGGCCTTCCCAGCGAATTTTAAATTCTTGGTTCTACTTGGCACTGTTCAGGAACCATTCTTCCAGAACAGCCTGTAACACATTCTGAAGCCCAAGTAAGTACTTTTCAGATGATCTGTTTGGGCCAAATCTGAGGTTCCTTTCCAGCCTACAGGAGACTTCCTTCTGGGAAGGTGGGAAGAGGTGTACTGGCATCAGAGGGCAGGCAGGATGTGGGCAGAGGGCTTGGGCTGCCACTCAGCGCCTGCTCTGTTCTGAAGCTGCCTGCACTTCTGGGCACCCTTGTGGGTAACATCTGGAGCTCCCGGGTTTGACTTGAGGCTGAGAGGCAGGTGTTGAGAGGGACTTGGCACTGACCTGTAAGAGCCACGAGTGCCGAGCCTCACCTGGGCTCTTGTGCGCCCCTCTGTCACCTGCCCATCCAAAGCCACACTTCTCACACATCAGACTGTGTTTCAATCTCATGACCCCAATTGTGAGCTGGGAACTAAGGGGTTAAGCCTGGGGATGGAAGAATTGAGAGGCAGGAGCAATGAGGAAAGTTAAAAATAGGGTTCGCCAGCCCAGAGCTAAGAAGACAAGGACAAACCTAGATTCGTTCATGACTGATGGATTTGAGGATGATTCTTGCTGGGCTTCCTCACGCCAGAAACTGAATGGAAAGAGGCTGCCTGGCTTCCAGGGGGAGACGAGTGAGATGTTGCCAGGCATCTTGGGGGATGGAGATGCCAGAACAACATTGAGACCAGGAATCTGGGTGGCCCTGTGTCCTGCTCTTTCTGCAGGCTAGCCCAGGTGGTCAGTGGCCTCTTGTTTGGTGATGCCTGGGGACACTGGGGAGGCCTGCTAGTTTGGGAGTGAGGCTGTGGCCCTGGAGCTCCTAGCTGCCCATTCTCCCCAGGCCCTGCCTGGTACTGTTATTTCTTGCTGTCATTATCTCCTCTCTTTCTTTAGTCTTCCCATCCCTACCTCTTTCATTTTATCTTCCCCTGAACTAGCAGGACTCCTGGAGCCTGAGAGGTGCTCCAACAGTCCTTCCCTCTAGTCTCCCCGGCTGCGAAGACCACCACACCTGACGCTTTTTGAAGAGGAAGATGCGAGCAGTAACAGATTCCTGGCTCCAAACGGGGACCGAGTTCTCAGCCCTGGCCTATGGCAGGAGGAAGCAGAGGTGGGAAAGAGTGAATCCCCTGCCAGCCTCCCGGCACGTTGCCCTGGGGCGGGGTTAATGGGTTTTTTTTCCAGCTTTCTGGAATCTCTTGGGAGCTGAGAGGCTTCTCTGGCTTCAAGCAGAAAAGGAAAATTGGGTTGCCTGTCTTTGCCTTTTGCCATGTGAGTACACGCGCCCTCTACAGCCACAGGGACCAGGCCACACACAACTGTCTTTGTTGGGAGTAGACAAAGCGGAAGGGCCAGGCCCTCCACCCAGTCAGTGACTATTCCTCACCAGGAATAGGAAACTACACCCTTCCTGCCCGACCCCCCCACCCCTACTGGGAGCTCACTTTCCTCCTTCAGCGACCCAGTCATCATGCTCCCTCCAGGGCCAGAGGGGACCCCAGTCACAGTCCAATCATTCAGAGAAAGGAAAGACACAAGCTTGGTGTGAGCTCCTTAGAAGCCCCAGGATATGGTCTTTATTTGATGCTCATGTCCTGACTCCCCACCCCCCAGCCCCGATGACCTATGTACAGGATGCTGTATGGAGCCAGTTCCACGCCCAGGCCAATGCAGCCTCTGCTCCTCCCTAGGCACTGCCAGGGCGAGCAGGAGGCTGCAGACAGCTGGGACCCAGGGCGGACTGGTCACAGGAAGTCTCACGTTCTCCACGCCTCCCCATACACGCATGTGCACACACACACAGACATGCCATGTGCACACAGAGGTATTCACACTTGTGCAGGGATGTGGATTCAAATGCTTGCGCCCAGACGCATCACCACCTGTGTGCATGTGTGCACCGCCAGAGGATGCCTTAAGGTATTGCAGTAATAGTGCAAAAACCCAGCCCTTACCCTCCTGCCCCGCCTAGCTTGTGGGGCTGGTGGGACAGGACTGGCCAGGGGGGCACCCCACCTGGCCCCCCTCCTTTGGGCAGTGCCAGCTGGAGCTCAGTTCTGAGGACCCCACTGTAGCCAGATGCCACCAGCCACCCAAAAGGCTGTCAGTGGGTTCCAGTCCCGGTTTGCCCCTGAGGGTGATGCAGATAAGCAGGGAGTGAGGTCTCCCCCATGACTTCGCCTCTGAGATGCCTCAGAATCAGGAGGAACTGAAACAGGCAGCTCAAAGGCCCTGGGAGTTCAGGACCTCTGCTGAGTCTGGACGATGTATCCCGGGGTAGAGGAGCTCCATTCTTCTGTGGCTTTCATTTATAAGGTAGCCTGCCCCTATCTTGCCCCTGCCAGCTGGCTTTCAGCTGCCAAGGAGCCACTCCTCTGTGCCAAGTGAGGGCCATGAGGGAAGGCCTGGGCAGGACTATCTGTGAGGGACTGGGGAGTTCTGCCCTGCCCAGACCTCGTCACTCAGGCTTGGCCATAGCAGGGAGGCAGAGAACATCTGTAAACTTGCTACTCAGCCCTGCAAGTGGGGTAAGGAGTGGAATGGGTTTGACAGGACATTGAGGACTTTTCTAGAAGCCAAGGGTCATACCGGAGACCTGCCCTTCCCCACCTCCTCTTGCATGTCACAGGCTGAGCCCCTAGCTCTCCAGGCACTGGATCACCTCTGGCCTACCCTACCTAGAAAGATGGCCCATCCAGTGGCCTCTAGGCCATGCCAGGGGGCACCTAAACCCTGAGTCAGCCCCAGAATCACCCTTCTTGAAAGGGGGAAGGTGCCAATTTATTTCAGGGACTGTATTTTCTAAACCCCCAAACAAGTGCGTCCTGGCAGTCAGCAGGACGGTGGTTTTGGAATTGAAGAGAATCTGGGATTTGTGGTCACCGTACCCATAATCTAGGCCTTGGGCACAGAACAGGCAGCTTTGGTTTGAATTCAGCACTCAGACTTCTCTCAGAACCCAAAGGGGCCGGGCTGTGGGGGTGAGCAGTAATGCCCGGCCCCACCTGGCCTGAGCACAGCTGTGTGCATTGAGAGGATTTTTGGTGGGATCATCCCAGGGGATGGCCACATCTCAGTTGCCCCAGGCCCTCCGGCAAACATTAAAACACCCCCACAAACACCCTGGCCCCAGCACCCCAAGGTTACATTCATCATTTAAGATTCAGTTAAAAAAAAAAAAAAAAAAGATGTCAGCCCCCTCCCCCTGGGTCCCAGAGAGCTAAGACCCTGGTCCCAGCTGCCTGGTTTTGAGGAGGGGCCATCCCAGGCCATGTCTGCTGGTGGCTGCCTGCCCCTGCTGGGGCATCCCGCCAGGCCCCTACTTGAGCTGTGGCAGTTTGTGGTGATAGACGCTACATTCACACGGGGAGGCGGGGAGGAGGTTGGTGTGCAAGGCCAAAGCCGCATGAGGTGAGGTGGGGGACCAAGAGAGAAATGCCCTCCAGGCCTGGTCCACCCTGGTGGTGCAAAGGGCAGGGCCACAGCACCCCCAAAGCCCTACTGGGGCCAGGAGTTGAAGGGCTTGGGGCCGGAAGACATTTGCATGGTGCCTCCTTTCGTGGCTGGTTCAGGGCTGTCAGGGCACCAGGCTCAGAGGGCAGGGGGTGGCACTTAGGCCCCTCCGGACCTGGAATGGAGACAGGGCATCAGGCGAGGATATGAGGCAGAGCCTAGAGGGTGAACCCTCCAGCTGGGCCCGGGAAGTCAGTGCTAGGCCCTGGAGGAGGCAAGTCACAGGCTGGCCAGGCAGGGTCAGACAGTGGTGACATGGCAAACAAAACAGATGTGACACAGAGGCAGGCTTCCTTCCCAGAGGTGGGGACTGTGGGGGGCACAGCTCCAGGAACCACCTGGCCAGGAGTGGTGTGGCCATAGGAGGGGCAGCAGGAGATGGACCAAGGCCTGAGAGGATGGGTAGGTGAGAGAGAGGGCAGGGCAGGCTGGGGGCTTGGTTCCCAGTGTGGGCTTCTCCCACCCTCGTAGTGACAGGGCTGCCAGAAGGGGTGGGGAAATCAGCCCCAGCCCCCTGAGACCAGAATGAGGCTCCCCAACAACAGAATGCCAAGCAAATGAGATGGTGGAGACGAGCCAGCAGGAGGGATGACGTGGCCGGCGTCACACTGCCCCCTGCTGGGTAGGGTCGTACCTTCCTCGGCGGATGTTCCTTCAGGAGCCAAAGAGGACAAGCAGAGAGAGAAAAGGAGCCATCTGTGACCTTCCGTTTCTCCCAGGGATGGGCTGGGGGTCCCTGGGGCCTGGGCACTAACGCTGACCAAGGAGAGAGACTGAGGAGACCTACCAAAAATGGGTCCTGGGTTCAAATCCTGACTTTGCCACTAACTCACCATGTGATTCTGGGACAGCCCTGCTTCCTCCCTGGGCCTCAGGTCCATCCTTTGCACACTGAAGGGGTTGGGCCAGCTCAAAGGCCCCAAACTTAGATGCCAACAGAACACCACAGGCTGGGTAGGCATCAGGGATGGAGGGCCATGTCTTGCTCGGCTCTACCCTGGCGCTGCTGGAGTGCACTGAGGCCCAGTGTGGCCCAATCTACTCATTTTTCAAGAGAAGCTAGAAGTCAGGATCTTTAATATAAAATCTCCTGGTTTTAATACTTGAGCAACTAATTTTTTAAGATGTTAAAACAAGACCCTGTGAGCTGGCTTGGACCAGTGATTTGTGAGCTCTAGTCTAATGACCTCTTGGGAAAGCCCCTTAGCTCTGACAATCTGGGGTTCTGAGAACCACTGAGGAAGCCAGAGGGCATAGAGAGGTGTGGGGGAGCTCTTACTTAAATCCCCAGCCCGTGCCGCCCAGGACGATGGCTGCAACCAGGACTGCCCCGGCGATGGAGCCAATGATGATGTTGGTGCCGCTGGGACCTGGGAGGAGGGCAGGGCTTGGTTGGCAGGGACAGGGATAGAGAATGGCAAAAACAGCGCCCTGCCCCCAGCCGGCTCCAGCCTCACCCTTGTATTTCTCCGTCTCTCCCGTGGGTGGGGTTGTGGGCAGAGGGTTGTGGATACTGCAGTCTTTGCCTGTCCAGTCTGGCTGACAGATACACTTCCCTTCATTGCTGCACACCTACAGGTGGGGCGGGGCAGGTAGAGGTGAGCAGGGGCCTGTCCCCTCCTATGAGCCTCCCCCATCATCCCCAGCCTCCAGGCACCCACCCCATGATGGGAGCAGATTCGACGCTCCCCACTGCCGGGGCAGGTGCTGAAGTTGAAGGCAGAGGCTGACAGGCAGTGATGGTCCAGGCATAGCATGTTGGGCCCACAGGCTGTGCCATCCTCCACATAGCTCAGGTCTGAGCCGTCGGCCAGCTGCACATGGCCTCCCCTGGGGAAAGGGCACAGCCAGCCTCAGCCCCTGCCCCCACCATAGTGGGAACCTCCCCTTCCCCAGCCATGGACCCAGCCAACACCTGCAGTCCAGCTCCTTGCCCTGGTGGTAGAAGGTAACACTGCTGATGTCTCCCCCCAGATCCCCAAGACGAGGGACCCCAGAGATGTTGACACAGAGGAGGAAGCCACAGAGCACATCCCTGTTGGGCAGAATAGAGACACTGAACCCCAAGTCTGACCTCATACCTAACTACTGGGCTCTTCCTGTCGTCACCCGCCACCTTATCTTTTGTATAGTCTCTCATCGGGACTCGGGTTCCTCCTAGGGGAACCTGCTGCCCCATCTCTGAAAATCCCTCCCCACCCCAGAGCTGGGGTCTTGGCTACTCACTGCTTATTGCACTGGACCCAGCCTGACCCCTTGCGCCCACAGTTCCCACGCTCTGTCCCCTCCACGTTCAGTTTTTCATAGCAGAAGCGATCAGCAGCCGCTGCAGGGAGATGATGCCAGGTGTCACCATACCTACCCTGGGACCTCAGGCCTGCACCTCCAATACTCGGACCTGACCCCTGGTCCAGCTGGGTCCCCAAGATTCTGGGGGAGTCACATTTAGGGAGCACATTCAGCCAGAAGCTGCCCCCTCCCCGGTGGTGGGTCCTCCAGAGTCCACTGTCAAAGACTCACCATGGCCCCAGAGAGCCTGGCACTGCCGGTCTCGGGTTTTGCAGCGACCACCGTAGCAGCGACCCTGAGGGACAAACAGGAGACAAGTGACAGGTACTGAGTGGTCAGAGCAGAGACAAGAGACCACACTGAGCCAGAGACTCCAGGGGAGGGTGGCCCCATCCCATCATACCTGTTCATGATCACAGTAGTAACCGTCCAGCTTGTGCAGGTTAGCGGGACACTGGGGAGAGAGGGCTGGGCTGAACTGAGCAGCCCCTAGGACTGAGAGCTGAGACCTGACCCAGGGAGCACTGCAGGGGCCCCAAGTGCCCCCCATGTGGAGGCTCATGTGACAGGGCCCTTCCATGTCAACGACAGTGGGTCTGGCTCCACAAGTCCTGTACCCTCCCAAGCCTGCCTCAGTTTCCCGCACCTACCTCATAGGGCAGGGAGGACTCAAATGCCTCGTGAGTAATAAGGACAATAAATGTTAACCAATATTATTAACCACAGTGATCCCCAGCATACAGCAGACACCGCCCCAAGGCTGGGAGCACCAGCCAGACTATAAATATTGGCTGAATGATTAAAGGAACGCCAGGAGGCATAAGGAGATCCTTTTTCAGATGAAGAAACTGAAGCTGATCAACGGCGGGTCGACGCCAGCTGCTGAGCAGAGGGGCCGAAGAACGGCCACTCGGCAGAGTCAAGCCCGATAGGGATACGGGCTCCCTCGCCCGGGGCTCCGCAGGGCGGACGGTCGAACCTGGCTCGAGTCCCCAGTGCAGGTCTCCGCAATGTCGCACTCGTTCACGGCCTCTCGGCAGGACACACCTCGCGGCTCATACTAGGGAAGGGATTTGTTCTGGGCTTAGGCGGGATACCGCGGACCCGCCTGCCAGCCGGCCTACAACTCCCCCGCTGGGCCTTTTTCCATTTCTCTGCCCCATCCCCTCTCCGCCCAATCCTCGCCCGGCCCTCAACCCTCTTTGCACCGCCCCCAGGGGCGCTCACGTTTCCGCTCCTCCCACGACCTCCCCCGCCCCAGCCCCGCTCCTCGTAGCTCCGCCCCCTCCCTCTCCAGGGGCACCTTCTTCACTTCAGGTCCAGATTTGCTCCGCCTCCAGTGGCTCCTCTGCCCTAAGCCCCGGCCCTCCACTGTGGGCCTCCAAGCGCCCCTCCTCCGTCCCCAGCCCCGCCCCTCCTTGCCCTGCCTCCTTCTCGTCCTTGCTGCCGGTTCCCCTCACCTTGCAGCGGCGACAGCAAAGCCCGTCGCTGCACATGGCGTCGTGTGTCAGGGTGCATTTCTTGCAGCAGTTCCCGCCCGCGCGGCTGCACTCCTGAGAGACACGAGAGGAGGGGAGGGAGGCGGGCGAGCCCTAATCCGACCCACTCGGGTCCTCCCTCGCGCCCGCCCCGCGTCCCCCTCCCAGCCTGGCGCCGGCACTCGTCATTCACCTGCAGGGAGCCGCAGTCACACTCCTCCCCAGCTTCCACGAAGCCGTTCCCGCACTCAGGGGGGTCCAGGAGCTGGACGGGGAGAGGGTGTCGGGAGTCTGGCCAGGACCCTGCCCAAGCCCCGCTCCCACGTTCCCCGCCCTGGGGCTGATACCTTAAGAGGTTTGTTGAAGAGGCAGCTCCCGCCGCCCTCCTGCAGAAACTGGTTGTACTCGTCGATGCTGCAGCGCGAGAACTTGCGGGGCAGGTAGAACCTGGGCAGGGGTCGGGGGACAGTGTATCCCGGCTTGCCCCCTCGCCTCTCAGGATTGGGAGGGGGCGCAAAGGGGGTTCCGGTCACCACGAGGAGGCTGAGGGTCCTCCTGCCTGCCCATCAAGAAACCGCGGGCGAGGAGTCCGCGCCTGGAGGGCCAACTAGAGGAGGTGCCTCCAAACGAGCCTGTGGCGGCGCCCAGTGGTGACACTGCGCACTGCAGTCTAGGCAGCTTCGGTGTCACGCAGGGGAATCCGGATCCTGGCTAGTGTCCGCAGAACACTGGGCTTCATGGAATTCTAAGTAGTCCCGAGAGCTGAAGCTAGATGCCCACCCAGTGCTCAACCCGGGGTTCCTCTTGCTCAAGATCCTTCCCCCAGTTTGTCCCCAAAAACTTACCCAGTGTCCTCCATGATGCAACCCAGCCAGATGTCCGGGCACTTGCAGTCCCCTGAGCAGGCAAGCCAAGCGGACATGAGGAAGTGTTGAGGACGGCCCCTCCCCCCATGGACAACGTCTTCACTTCCAGAGTCGCTGGGTGTGTGTCTGGGCTGGCTGTGGGGCCACATGGGGGTGTCAGAGGGCCAATACCTGCAGAGCTTCGATGTTTGTTCCACATCATGCCCAGGTTCTGCCCCAACGTCTGCGCCAGGGTCACCGCCATGGCTCCCACGTTGCCGAACTGGGGGTGAGGAAGATGGAGCACAAAGATGTCTACAGCCTCCGATATCACAGGGCTCATGCCCTTCACAGCCCTCCTCCCTACAATTCCCCACCCCAGCCATGCCCCCACACTGCTCACCTCGTTCACACCCCCACCCCGGGCCATGGAGCAGATGCCCCCCATGTAGGCAGCCCCGCTGCTGGTGCTCTGGAAAGTCCTGCCCCTGGAAGGGAGGGGGTTGTAAGGAGAACCTCCTGTCCTCCCATGGTGGCTCCCTGGGGCTGTGAGGCAGAGGCCTGGGAGCCTCCTACACTAGATCCTTTCTCCGGGAGGGAAGCATCTCCCCACATTTTTCTGTGGGACCTCAGCAAGGCCCTCCTCATCTCTGGGTTCACTTGCCCATAAGTCAAATGAGAAGTTCCCATTAGATAATCCCAAAAGTCCCTCAATGCAAGGATTTTTAATCAGATTTTTTCCCCTACTAGGCCACGGGGTTCCTTGAGGATATCCCTGGGATGGTTTGAAAGGGGGACAGGGGATGGAGGGGAGGTGATGGGCAGAAGATCACTTGGGGTAGGGCAAGGGGGCATCAGCTAAGATGCTGGGGAAACTGCCCACCGTGTTGCATTTGGTTGGGGGGTGGGTGGCAGGTGCAAGGTGAGCCCAGTCCCCAGGCCCCAGACAGTGCCTGTACCTGGCACAGGGCAGGTGCTAAGTAACCCCCTGGGAATGGCTGACTGAGGAGGAACCCCCAGCAGACGCTGGCAGGATACATGGGGTGGGGGACTCACGAGAAGAGGTGGGTGGCGTCACTGGGCTCAGGCAGCCCCTCCCGCCTGTAGACCATGAGCCGGGCCAGGGTCTCCAGGAGGTCATCTTGCACCTGGATCTTGTCCCCATCTGCCCACGTTTCCATGGCGACCAGCACGATGCGGGTGTTGAGCTGTTCCTTGTATATCTGGGCCAGGAGAGGAGAAGGGTGAGGAGGGTGCCAAAAGGTGGGAGTGGGTGTGTGGGACAGGACTGGAGAGGGGCTTCAGTCTGTCCTCCAGGAAGTGGGGGTCAGAGGCTGACAGTGCCCCCAGAGTTCAGCCCCAAGGTTATGCGAGGGGTGCTAGGCGTGCTGGGGTAGGGCTGCTTACCACATCGGCCAGGTTCACCACAGACTTGGCAAAGTTGCTGGTGAGGACCACTGACTGTCGCATCTGCCCAAACTAGGAGGAAGAAGAGTGGGAGAAGGGCGAGGCTCTTTCCACCCCTCCTCCTCAACTTCACCCCTTTAGCCTGGGAACTTACCAGCTGGTGGTCATTGATCACAATCAACTCCACATACTTGGTCTCACTGTGCACAGTGGGGTGGCCCCGGCGGACCTGGAGGTGGGCAGGCACTTGGAATCAGTCCCCTCTTGTGGTCAAGCCATGGGCAGACTCAGGGGCCTGGGCTCCAGCCAGGGACAATGCCAGCCTCCACTGGCGGAGGGTCCCATCCTCCCCAGCCTTGATACAACGACGGCGGGCAGCTCAGGTTACCCACAATGGCGTGCACAGCAGCCTTAGGGAATAGGGTGGGGGCTTCCTCCCAGAGAAGGTCCCTGGCCCCCCACTGCATCAGTCTGAGCCCTCCTTTGCCCCTGCCATGGATGGAATGTCCTGCTCTGGACCCCAGCCTGAGGTCTCTGCAGCCCGAGGTCTGTGCGGGCCCCCGTACCTGCCTTTTCCTTCTCAGCCTTGGCCGGTTCGGGGGAGCAATATGAGCAGGGGCAGCAAACAGACAGCCTATGGGGAGGGGGCAGGTGAGGGGGGCACAGCCAGTCCCCTCCCCAGCCCCACTTTCCCTCCCTTACCTGGCTCCCTGCATCCGAGGGGGGCTGGGAGAAGAGGGGTCCGGTAAATGAGGTGGGGAAAAGGTCCCTGCAATGAGGGGGAATTAGTTCTTGGGGGGCTGGCCAGGCCAGTTCTGAGCCCAGCTGGAGGAGGGGACAGCTCAGCCCTTCCCCCCCACACCACTATGGGGTGACCCAGAACTGGCCAGAGCTCCCATGTCGGATCTGATCTCCCAGCTGCTCACATTCCGGGGTCAAGCCCTGGGGGCACCCTGAGAGACAGGGCAAAGGACACTGGAGCCCGGTGGGAGGTTATCTGGGGGACAGGGGGGACACTGGAGCTGGGGGCACAGGGTTTGGGAACCAGAGCTGGGGTCACTGAAGAGGCCAGTGAGGCTGAAGTTACCGAAGGAGGGGGAGGGAAAGGAGGCAGCAAATGCCATGGGGACAAGCTTGGCAGGACAATGTGGGGCTGTGTGGGACTTACCTGGGGGGCTTCCTGCGTCCCAGCCATCTCACGGGGCTCCACGATGTAAGTGAAGTTCCCGTCAGAGAAGACCCCACTGCGGAAAGAGAGGCCAGCTCCCCACATGCCCAGGGCCAGGGGCTGGAGGCTGTCTCCTGTGCCCACCCGCCCATACTCACTGCAGGCCTTGGCAGGTGGCAAGGGCGGCAAAGGAGTGAGGGTTTCCTCGGAGCTTCCCCTGGTAGTAGCAGTGGTCTCCGGCACCCTGGAGGATTGGCAGAAGTGAGCACAACATGCCCTGCCCCAACATGAGGGCAGGAGGATGGGTGAGGGGTGCAAGAAGCTCTGCTGGGCCCACTGATGGAGATACCTGGGGACTCGGAGCCTGGCTCGGCTCTGGTTGGGCTCCTAATGTGCTGTGTGACCCTGGGCAAGTTCCTAACCCTCTAGGCCTCCTTCATATCGCCTATAAAATGAGGAAGCTGGACTACATTGGTGGTTCTTCACCATTTGTTGGGGGTGGGAGGGGAATCACAGACTCCTTTGGGAATAGCAATAGCTAATATCTGTATAGCACCTACTGTGTGCTGGACTCAATTCTAAGCACTTACATATAGTATCTCATTTAATCAGGTGGATGCTATGGACTTGTCCCCCCAAACATACAGAATTTCATACTTAAGTGTATTCACAGATGCCAGTGCCCCCTGAGAGGCTCAGGTAGTCACCCCTGCACCTGTGGTTGGTGGCTGAGGTGCTGTGAGCAGCATGAGGGCCAGAGGGGACCAGCAGCACACCCTCCCCACCCTGCTTCCTGCAGAATTACTTGTGTTCCAGTTACTGAGCAGGCTGGGGGTGGGGGGAGAAGGTGACTATTTATAGCCACTCATTCATCTCTGCTCAGCCTCTGGGCATCCAGGCTTGGAAGCAAGGGGTCCCAAAAGCTGGGAATTCCTGGGGCCTTTGTGCTGGACAAGACAGGGCATTTCCCCGCCTGCCCCCTTCCAGACAGAGCTGGGCAAGGCCACAAGGGTCTGGGCATGCCTGCGTACTGGGCAGGGAGGCCAGCTGGGAATCAGACCTCTGGAGTTGGGTCCCACACCTGCCCACCCCGACTGCTGACCTTGGAGCCTCCAAGGTGGGGAGAGAATGGAGGGTCTTGAGGGGCAGTGCTCATCCTGAGTATACCCCTGACCCCGTCTCCACCGGCCACCTGTCCCTACATCTCTGACCACACACAGACAGCACCTCCATTCAGCCTCCCCTGTCCCCCTCCAAAGGCACTCACAGTGCTGTGCTGGGTTGTCCCCTCACGGCTGAAATGACGCTCCACGTATTGCGAGGAGAGGAGATGACTGGAACAGAGTGGGCAGGAGGACGGAGAGGGTCACGAGTGAGGCTAGTTCAGGCTTGGGTGTGGCCCCAGCCCAGAATCCAGGATCACCCCCCATCACCCCACACCTGCCCCCAGCCCCCCACCAGACCATTCTGACACCAACCAGCCAAGTTTAGGCCAGGCTTTGCCCAGCCACCCGCTGCCCTTCCTCCCAGGCTCAAGGTCACACTCACTGGTTCAGCTCCAGGTCCAGGGTGAAGTTTGAGTTGAAGGCTGGGATGACGAAACTCACCTGAGCCAGGTGGACAGGCTAGGAGGAGAAGCAGAGGGGGAGTCAACCTGGGGAGGCCTGAAAGTGGGAACTGGGGAAACCCAGAATGGGGGGTAGCTCTTGGGGAGGGGGTGGCCCAGCTGCTGCAGCTGAGGGGACCATCAATTTGGGGGGGATGCTTTGCACAAGCTCATCTTCATCCAAGACTCTGTTCCTTCACCATGGGGAGCAGGAGGGCTCGTCCTGGGGCATGGCCCACCCTCTGCCATCTGGGCCACAGCATGGTGAGCAGGATGCGGGGTAGGCTCCAGCCATCTGCTCTGGTGTAGGCCCCTCGCAGGGGCCAGTCCACTGGAGCAGTGGGCATGGGGAGGGGCGCTCAGCCTGCCCACAGCCTCATGCCAGGCTCTCTCTGCTGTTGGCAGGGCCACCTCACCCTCTGGTGGAATAAAGGGAAGGCCCCAGAAATATGGGAAAGGGAGAAGAGTTCAGTACAGGGGCAAATAGAAGACGGAGAACAGTGTGACTCCCCTCCCCACTGAAGCAAGCCTCTCCCTTCCTGTTCCCCTACCCGGGCCCAGTCTCAATTTGACTCTGCAGGGTGGATGAGTTGGAATTGATTCCTGGGCCCTGGAAGCTAGGGCAATGGGCTAATGCCATCCTGTCAGGAGGAAAGGCCTTGGCTCCTCTACCCCCAAATCCACTTGTCCTCTGCCTGGCCCAAAGCAGCTCATCTTTAATATTTCAATCCCATGGTTAATTTTTAAACACGGAAGTTTTCCTAATAAATTTTTCAGAGGGGCCTATGCAGTGGGGCTGGGAGGCTGCAGGTTGTCATGGCAACATACCAGGCCCGAGCAAGATGGCTGCCCTCCCAGGCCTGGAAGCCCAGCTACTGTGGAAGCATAGGGTCTTCAGAGCCTGGAGCTAGTGTGCCTGGAGGGAAAGTGACTCCAACAGAGAAGGGGCAGGGGAGTCTGGGCTGAGGGGGAGTCGGCCCTCTCAGTCCTGAACGACAACAATGCTAACTGATACACCTGGAGGCTCCATGTTCCCTACCCCAAGCTGGAGTGTACGATACGACCTCTGGTCTTAAAAAGGATCTAGAAGGTCAGGGAAAGGCTGAGAGGATTCAGGGCCTGGAGCCTTCTTCCCACAGCCCCTCTTCCATCCACTTAACAAAACTGAAATCTAGGCACCCAGAGGAGGACCACAGTGTGCTTAGTGTAGATGGGGGGCTTTTGTTTGCTGCCTTTCTTTTGAGGGGTAGAAGCAGGTTGAAGGAAGGAGGGGGTCATGAAATCTCATAGCCAACGCCCAGGCAGCTTCCTTATCAACAACCCTAATCTTTACTGAGCATTTATTATGTTATTATGTGCCAGGCACTGTTCTAAGCACCTTACAAGTATTACTACTTTTGATCCTTACAATAACTCTACAGGGAAGATGCTACTGTTATTCTCATCTCACAGATGGAGAAACTGAGGCACACAGAGGCTAACTAACTTGCCCATGATCTCATAGCTAAGAAGTGGCAGAGCTGGCATTCAAACCTAGAGAATCAGCTTCCAGGGCTTTCTCACCCCTAAAGTAAGGTAAGATGGAAATGGGCCCAGTGCTCATGAGAGGTTCTGGGAGAGGGGCTGAGAGGAAGCAATGGGTCAGAGCCTGGGCAGGCCTCTGAGCCCCAAGAACACTGACTTACCCCATCCCAGGCAGAACAAGCCTTGCAGCTCCACCCTGAGCCCCTAGAGCATCAATCAGACTTGAAATAGAAAGTAAAGGACAAAGACCCACTGCCTCCTCTCCCTACCTCAGCCTGGACCATCTTCTCTCTTCCTTCCCCTGGGATGGGCTACATCTACCCTCCCCCTGACCTGGATCATCTCTGCCCTCCCTCCTGCTTCCTAGGCTTGGACCACCTCTGCCCTTTCTCCTGCTTCCTGGGCTTGGACCACCTCTGCCCTCCCCAACCAGCCCCTACCTGGACCATCCCTGCCTCCGCCTCCCTCAGGACTGTCCCTGCTTGTTCTGTCTACCCCCCACTGACAAGCCCCTACCCCAGCCCCACCTCTGGCTGCCCAGAGGAGCAGCCTGCTCAGGCCTCTTGCTCTGATGCCACCCTCTCAGGCTGTACAGTCCAGGGATGATATGGCAGCCTCTCTGAGCCTCAGATTTTCCCACTGCAAGTGGTAAGATGAGCCCAGATGCAAGCTGGGAGCTTGCTATGTGCGGGAAGTCGTCCTGGGCCTGGAAGATTCTGGCAGAGTTGGCCCTGGTGCTTACAGACTCTCCCCTACCCTGAAGGTCAGTGAGCTAACCCTCCAGCCTTCCACTCCAGGGAAAGCCTGAACTGAAGGGGAGCAGCACTTGACACCCCAGGGTCCTGCTGAGGTTTCACCCCCTACCTGGGGAGGCTGGACTGTTGGGTGGACTGCCCCTCCACAGGAGGACACAGGTCTCAGGTCAGATAAGAGGGCAGCTGCCTGACAGGAGGCAGCTCAGGAATGGGGGGCCGGAGGAAGAGGAGAGAAACCAGATACCTGAGCTCACCTGCTAGGCCTGGCCTAATGGGGGAGACACAGCAGCGCTTCTGCCTTAGGGAAGAGACAGACGAGGTGAGCTCACCTCAGCCCCCGGGTCCTCTACATCCCAGGTGCCTGGGGAGGGGGCTCCTACTGGTCCCCAGAGTCCTAAAAAAACCCCCAGCCAAGACTGAGGCCAATGTCCTATCGTCCTATCGCATTATCAAAGCCAAACTGCTTCATTGCCTGGGCTTGCTTCCTGACCCTGACCTACAGCTGACCTCATCCCATTATCCTCAGTCCCCCAGGGACTCCTGCAGTCTTGAGGTCACACCCGGGCTCCATCCTCCAGCAGCCCTACCTCTGCACCAGCTCATCTGCTCGTGACTGTGACCGGTGGCTACGACCCTGTGCCCTGTACTTGTCCCTTGCTTCCCAGTGGCTTGGGATCTCATGTGGTCCAGCTCACTTGATCTCAGCTGCCCAGGCCATCTGGTCCTCATTTTACAAATGCAGGGCCAAGGTGGGGAGAGACACCTGCAGGTGACTGGCCCAGGGTTATGGCTGGGGAGTGCAGGGCCAAGTCTCATCGTAGGGCTAGGGTTCCTGTCTGCCTCTGCAGGGTGTCTGCCCCTCCACCTGAGGCCTCCCCATAGCTGGCCCTCCACTCTGCAGGAACCTGCTTCTGAGGAACTCTGCCTCCTTCTCTCTGTACCCCGTGTTATGCCCGACTGTGGTAGATACGGAGTGCAGACAGAAGCAGGAAAAATTCCACTGAAGCCCCAGGATCACAAATACAGATGCCCGGGCTCCTCCCAAACCTATAAAATCATAGTCTAGGGAAGGGGGAGACTAAAGAGCTTCAGGATTCCCAACTGCTCCAGAAGATTCTAACAGGCAGACCATTGGCACTTGAAACTCACTGCTCTACACAGCCTCCAGCCACTGTCCCTCACACAGTCACCTTAAATCCCAGAGGTAGCTGTGGCCAGAGGGCCCTCCACCCAGACCACTCCCTCCTCCCACTGGTGATCTCCTCCCCAGCCTCTCCTCAAAGCCCACACCTGACAACTCACACAGGGCTTTTGTCCTCTCTACTCCTAGGCCTTTAAGCACACAGTTCTTGACATATATTTTTTTGATTGCTGATTCAACTTTTCATATGAGCAACCTTTTTTCCACTGGAGCCGTGCTCGTCTTTTTCTCTCTCCCCTGGGCCATGTCCAGGGGCTCTACACTTGTGTCGAATAGAAATGGGTCAGAAGGCCTGAGTGAGCCTAAGTGAGCCACTTAACCTCTCTGAGCCTCAGTTTCCCTACTGGTAAAATAAGGTTACTGTGAGGATTAAGGAACCCTGGTGGCACAGTGGTTAAGTGCTCAGTTGCTAACTGAAAGGTTGGCGGTTCAAACCCATCAGCTGCTCCATGGGAGAAAGATGTGGCAGTCTGCTTTTGCAAAGATTACAGTCTTGGAAACCCTATGGGCAGTTCTACTCTGTCATACAGGGTCGCTATGAGTCTGAATTGACTTGAAGGCAACAGGTTTATGGGTGAGGATTAAATGAAAGCTCTTCTTAACCTGTAATTATCCTAAGGGTTAGTAGTAACAGTAATAAATGAGGAAGAAAGTATAAGTGTTCCAGCTGAACAGGGCTTTGAGGAACTGAATAAAAGATCCCCTTGGGTCACCCCCTCCTGTGGCAGGGACACACCAGGAGGGTGGCTTTGGGCTCCAGATCTGGATGGACTGCTTTACCTGTGAGGTGTCTCACCTGAGGACATCTTTCTCTCTGAATTCCCTCCTGCCTGCGTGCATGAAGACACCACTTTGTGGGCTGGGCGGCCACAGACTGGGGAGGAGTCAAAGTGCGGCAGGAGCCCCTCCTGGAAGCAGGTCCTGGCTGGAAGAACTCCCCTCACTCGCCAGCCTCCCCACTTCATGCCTCTCAGTGCTGCGCTGATGCCCCACTTATCAATGGGGCAGCGGGGGTTCCCAGACAATGAGAACAGTTGGATGAGTTTCCGATGATGGGATTTGACCTAAATTTTCGAGGACAGAGTCACCTCCCTGCAGGGTCATCCGTCCCTTGAGGGACAGACTCTGGGCAGCTGAGTCTCTCTAAGCAGCAGGAGGGTGCTTGGGAGAGGCCATGTGCACAGGCCAGAGTCCAGCCCCTCCCCCTGCTCGCACCCTGACAGGTCACCCTCAAGTGCTTCAGCTTCTGTTCTGAAAACCCAGCCCCTGTGCCAGCACCAGGTGCCCGGCGCCCGCCCGACACCCAGGAGGGAAGGCAGGCCTCGCAGATGTGGAACATCTGCTCTTGCCAGATCCCAGGCTGGGCACCTGACACATCATCGCTTCTAATCCAAGCAGCAGCCTGAGAGGGGGTGCTATTATTATTATCCCCATTGTCCGGATGAGGAACGTGGGGCTCAGAAAGCTGTGGCGGCTTGCCAGGTCACAATCAGAAGCAGTGGAGCCTGTACCTGTCCCAAGTCTGTCCTACCCCAAAGT